GTTTGTCCACAAAATTTAAATTTAGAAATAATTATATTATTAAACGAGTTATGCCCGGCACGCAAAAGACACTTGGGTCACCAATTAAGAATCGAGGGCGTAGTGAAATCCAATGGTTCAGGTTCAGTACTAAAGTTTCTCTCGGATACTGGGTTGATAGACACACAATAAATTAACTAGGGGATACCATAGATCTTTAGACCGCAGTGCCAATTGTCATCTACAATAATAACACAGGCTGACCTTTTTCAGACCCTGGGATCAGCTTATACTTTTCCAAAGGTTTTTGATGCGCTGAATCTGAGTCCGGAATCAATTTTTCTCCATTAGTTAAGGTTTTTGGGATATTTCAGGTTTAAAATGCGAAAACATGATTTTTACTATATTCTCCATGCAATTTTATAAAGAATAATTCCTCGTTTAGAAAACTGAATCTTTTTTTAGGGTATTCGTATAAAGTCAAAAACTTTATCACGTTATATGAATACCCTTATTTTAAATTAAATTGAACATATTAACATAGTAACATAAAGCAAAACAAAATAAAGTAAAATAAAATAAAGTAAAATAAAATAAAATAAAATTAAATAAAATAAAATGAAATAAAATAAAATAAAATAAAATAAAATAAAATAAAATAAAATAAAATAAAACATCTGATTGGTTGTAATGGTCCGTAACTTCTCTATAATGAATGTTTATGGAAGGAAAACGTTACTCAACGTCACTTTTTTATGTTAATATAGCAAATCTGATGCAAGATTCTCTTTCGGTGCACTAGAAACCTTTAGGAAAATACTCGTACAAGCTAGTCCCAGGGTCTGACTTTTTCCAAAGTTTAAAGGCCTATGTAAATAATATACTGGCGGCCACGCAAACCACCACTTTTAGTTGTGTAGAAATTTGAAAAAAAAAAAATTTTTTTTAATAAGTTCGAACCGCAACAAAAACTAAATAAATAAGAGTTTCAAAATTTAGAAAGAAATCGTCAAATTTTCAACCTGTTTAAAAAAAGTTTTAGGCAAATTTTTGATGTGCAGTTTAATATCCCACTTATAGAATAATAAAGAGCAAGTTTAAAGTACCTCAAAGTTTTGGTTAATTTTTGAAAATTTTTTCCATACGATGTTGCGCATTTTCCCCATATAAAAAGCACTCGTTACATGGAAAAAATTACACAATACCGTTCGTTATGGCAGAGGATGATCGATGTATACACACTCATTTGCATTGTTCCGTTTTCGCTTTTTTGTATGCGCCAATTGGATAGTAAATCATCAATGAGTAGCAAAAAAAATTGGGATGAATCAACGCTTTTTCATTAAAATTTCAATTTCGTCATTTCTCTTGGAACCGATTATGGACCCTCCAGACTTAGCCTTGAGTTCAATGCTAACCGCAATAACTGTTTTTCGAAACGACGGACGTTTAAAACACTTTATTTTGGAATGCATGTGTGCTTTTGAGTTGTGTATGTATGCGGAAGTGGGTTCAAACAAACAAAACGCTACTGTTGTGATATATATTTATGTACTTTGGAAAGCGATAGCGCAACGATTAAAAATCTACAAGTCAGGCATTTCACTATTATTATTGTTATTTTTTTGTGGTTTGTTTTGATTTTGGTTTCTAATTTTTAATTTAGTCCACTATTTTTTCTACAATTTTCGTAAACATTTAGGTATAAATCACACAAGTATGGCGTAAAAAATCGTAAGAAGCGTACGCGCGGTACCTCGCCCCTTTCTCGGTACGAATGAACGCAATGTGGGGCGATAACGTCGTGAACGCGGCTGAGTCGATGGTTTCGTAGACACAAATGTATGTATGTATGCATGTGCATACAAATTTACGTACCTGTTATTGGAGCACAATGAAGAAAGAAAGCTACGAAAGAAAGCAGCTCAGCGGCAGTGTCAGTGTCAATGCATTCAGTCGCGACGAGGCTGTACGTTGACTTAAATCCGAAGTTTTTATGCAGCTTAAAGCGGTTATTATTATTATTATTGCCGTTGATTTTGTTTTATTTTATTTATATTTTCTTTTGCCAGTATTTATAACAGTAAATAGTAAAAAGGTGTTTTTTTTTAATATTTTTTTTTTTTGTCGGTCACCACCGTCTTCGCGTTTGATTTTTTTTTCACGCCAGCTGTGGTATGGCGTGGTTTTGGCTGAACGTGAGGTGGCTTGGAAAAGCAAAGCAGACTTTGTTTACCTTCATGCCAGCACGTTTGGTCGAATATGGTAATCACAAATGCTAAAACAGCAACATGCACATAGTCCGACTTACTGGCTTTTTGACGTCTTCGCTTATCGCTTGATTCGTCAGTTAGTTGATTTGTCGCTTGACTGATTGACTGACTGGTTAATGTGGTTATGCGGTCGTGGTTGTCTAAGTGTTTATTGGCTAGCTTTTTAAGCGTGTCCCAGTTATTTATGAGCTTGTTATTTGCCTCTACCTCTGTATGATGCATGCCGTCCATTTGGCCGCTTCAAAACACTTTTCGGTTTTGAGTACAGAAATTATGGTGAAAACTGGCGAAGTGCCATTTGAGGTTATATGTATGTATGTACATACATAGAGTTGAATGTATTGCTATTATTTAGTTAGTTAAGCTGTTTGTTCATGGCTTTAGTTTTTTTTTTTCATTATGTAAAAGCGAAGAGAATTGATGAATGTATGCGGAGAAAACTGGCTATGAGACTTTTGTGTTGTCGAAAGCGGCCGATGCAGGGATGCTTTTGGTGTCTGTTGGAAAATAACGTATTTACTAAATGAGAATTAAAAAGCAAAATTGTAAAAACAGTAAAAATTACAAATCAACAGTGGAAAAAGTTAAAAAGCTCTCAGTTTTCAGTGGTGATTTTACCAACCTATAATCGAGTCAAAAATATCGATATAAATGGCGAACAAATTTCACAAAAGTTGGTCAAACTCGAAAAAATTGTCATCAAAATCTCAAACTTTTTAATCAGAATTTTTAGTAAATTTTCTGATAATAATAATAATATTTTTTTTTTAATTGTTATTAAAAACCATGAGCATAACAAAAATAGAGAATATCATAAAGAATATCATGTTTTCCCATGAAAAAAATGTTTAATTAAAGCAATAACACTTCTCACCTTAGTATACTCAGAGGGTTTCCAGCTCTACGCAGTTTTAATTAGTTGACCGTCGCTGTACATGCGTGCGCATATGTAAGCTTATCTCATATGCGCACGCATGTACAGCGACGGTCAACTAATTAAAAATGCATAAAGGTTGATAATTTTGATTTAAAATGCTAAATCCAAATTTTGGCTACAGGTGCTCATCATTTATTTTTAAAAATACTCTGAAAAATAAGTTGTATGGGTGTTGTATGTAGCAGTGGTCCAATTTCGGCTGTTCCGACAAATGATTGAGAATTTAAAAAATAATACCCTCCTAACGAGTTTCAGTCGGATTTCTCGAAAACTAAAAGACTTGATTGCGTTGAAACAAACAAACTGACGGACAAGCATACAAAAAAAATTCTTATTTTTGCGAGCGCTAACAAATAAATGAAGATAGAATGCTAAGATTTTGCCAAAATTATTTTTTTGCGACCGACAACGAAATTTTCATATGAGACCGAAAGCAAAAAACATTTTTTTTATTTGATAGTCTAATTAATATATGAACTTACAGTTATGTGAAAAAATTGGTACACGACATTTTAATTAGTTTTAACAGTTTTTCTTTTGTTTGCTTTATGTTTATAAATTTTTTATTTAAGTCTATCAAATTACACACTTACACAACAGCAACAAAATTTGTATTCATACAACCTTAAGTATGCAGTTTTGTAACCCATTAAATTCGAATGCAGTTTCTAGAGGCTAAGAATTCGCGCTGATTTTTGAACATTTTTTTTTGCCAACGGTGTCAATAAGAAAATTAGAAAATAGTAACTTGGTAATAGAAGCAAATACTTGACACCGTCAGCAAAAAAAAAAATCAAAAATCAGTGGTATTTTGTAGACACTTTGAGCTTCAAAAACTATCACGGGGTGTACACCTCGTACACATAGTACCAGGAGTTCCTTTATTTTATTAGAAAACTGTTCCAAAAAATAACTAATACTCGCGCTGTAAAAAATGCTTATTTTTAATGAATGTAACGCAAAAACTGAATTTCGTCACAACAACATTAAGTCCTAAATAATATGAATTGGTTAGCCAATTATTTATGAAGNTGAATTTCGTCACAACAACATTAAGTCCTAAATAATATGAATTGGTTAGCTACATATTAAGCTACATATATACTACATTTGTTTTTTGTTCTTAGTTAGTTTACCGTAGCTGTATGTATGTATATAAGCAGTATGTGTGCATAAAGCAGTATGTGACAGACAGACTATACACATGCACATAGGTATGTATGTATGTGTTCTTTCGAAGATTGCATTTCGATTTCATTCGTCTCGTTATCAGCAACTTGGTGGCTAGCTACTGGCACAATGCTGTGCACTTTATTGCCATTACTGCTGCGACGCAGGTAATATGACATGTTTACTCTATTTTATGCATTTGTTGTTGTTGTTCAGCGTCCACTCAAAACGATATTTGTGCAGTACGTACTTTTACCGACGGACTGAGATGATAAGCATTTGCAATTGGATGGGTGTGAATGGACTTGCAAGCTAGTATGAAGGTCATTTGCCATTAGCCGCTGCCGCTATCGTTCTACAGTAGATTACCATTTGCTAAAAGAGAAAAAGAAGTAAATTCATATGTACATACATACAAATGTAGGTGCATACGTAAAGGCGAAAAATGAATACACACATATATACATACATACATATAAGGAACACTTACCAATTGCATGCATATAAACTAAAAATAAATATTTGCGTATTCATGAAAATAAATAAATACAAAATATCTAAACTAATGCAAATTTTTCTGCAATCGATACCATTTTTTTTATTAATAATTTTTTGTTTATTTTTCTATGTTTTACTTTTAGATGTGATGCCTAAACGAAAATCAATACCGCCACCGTAAATGCTGCTGCTGTTTCCGATGACATCGTCATCGACTTGGACAATGTTTCGGGCGTTTAACAAATCGCTTGAAATTTTTGTCGACTGAAGTTTTTGTAAAGGGTGTATTGTTGCGGGCGATATGTGGTGTATGTAGCTGCGTTTGCTGCTTTATTTGGTTTGGCGTACGGCGTTGGCGCAACGGAAACTGCTGTGAGTGCCACGAGCAGTTGAGATTTGCATTGAAAGTGGTTTGGTTTTCTGTCTGTAATAGGGGTATTCACGATCCGGTGTATACTGTCTAGTATGGTGCATAGAAATCATAAAAAGCGTGATTGGCTAATTTTGTTGTTGTTTGAACACATGAAACAAAAATAAAATTATCCAATCATGCTATTTATGCTATCTATGCACCGTGCTAGACCGTATCGCGAATACCACTAAGTAAATAAATTTTTTTTTTTTGATAATCTAAAGTAACTAAAGCAAATAAGTGTTTTTATGTAGGTATTTATAAAGTTATTTGCTATACATATAATATTTTTTTTGTATGAAGTTTAGGTAAATTTATTATTTTGGCAGTTGTTGTGGGCTGTGACTTGACATCAGGCTGGCAGAACTCCATAAGTAGTATCTATATTTAAATTTTGTTTTTCTAATTTCATATCAGCGGATAGGTAGGTAGTAGGTAAAAAAAAATCCGTCTTTGTTAGTTTTTGCATAGGTGTTTTTTTTCAATATTCCTCTGATTTCAAAAAATTAAAAATTTTTTTTTATTTTTTTTTTGCGTTATGATGATGATATCTATGGAATTTTGATAGAATAACTTATCTCGAGCTGGGCCAATCTCTCTTTAGAGCAATATTTTATTGAGTTTCGAAATAATATTTTAAAGATTAACCCTTCAAACCTTCTAAAGTCACTTAAGTTCTTTTTTTTTTTGAAATTCCACAGATGCATATGTACATAAGTACATAAATTCAATAACAACCAACACAGTAGTGCAGTGAATTTCATTTATTTATCAGAAACCGTTACGGTTACGGTATTTATAGTAAAAATCATACTTTAACCACTAAAATTTGGTTTAAACTTTACCGATCAAATTTAATCGTTTTTTTTATAGATAATTTTTATTTTTTCGATCAAGAATAATCGTAATTTTATGATTTACATTTTTCAGATCATAAAAGATTTAAAACGGTAATAAAAATGGATACCGGTTAAAAATGATCGATAAAAATCAAAATCACAAAATACCGTTTAAATTGGCCGACAAAAATCTAACGGTTATTCTTGCTCAAAAAAAAAAAAAACAACGTAACAACCATTTCGCAATGATCTAAAAATATAAATCTTGATATTTAACGGTTAATTTCGGTCCCTGACTTTTTTCAATTCTCCTTTCTTTAAATTACAAATATTTATTACCAATTAAAAAAATTCTATAGCCCAACTGTTTTCATAATTTTTCACAAAAATTCAAAATTTATATAAGTTATTGGTTATGGTTAAAAAAATATCCAAACATTTTTGTTTTCTAATAGCAAACCACCGAATGCATTTCGGCTATGAAAAAGCGGCTCATAAAAACCTATTCGACCCTCAGAGGCGGCATGATAATTAGAAGAGAAGCTGGCCCAATAAATATCTACTAACATAAACGCTCTCAGCAACACCAATTGCCAAGCTAGAAAAATTATAATTTTTTAATTTTTAATATTTTAATATTTTTTTGTTTTTGTAGTTTTATTTTATTTTTTTTTTTTAAGAAAACCCCACTCAGTCAATGCTGTCAGAGTCAACGCGGTGGTGTCTTAAGAATAACAACAAAAAAAAAATAATGTTTGCGCATTCGCATACCATTACCCATATTCATATTACACAGGCCGACAAGGTGCAGTCAGTATGTATTTGGTCGGGCATTCAAATATGTAGCTAAGAAACATGCACGTACTGATCGATTGGCTGCCAAGCGCATGCGTAGTAGTAATAGTAATAAATAGTAGACAAAGATTGAGCGAATTTGTGCCAAGAGCGGCTGGCCAGTGCAATTTTACTTTTAGCAGCGCCTGCACAATTTTGTTTGTTTCGTGTTTTTATCTTTAATTTTTATTTTTTTTTGTTGTTCGACCAATGCGCTAGTTGGCCTGTGTTATTAACCAAAACATTCATACAAAACTTTGGAATGATCTCACTTATGCAATGATGTAGTGTGTGTATTAGAGTATTATTTTTTCCCTTTTAATAAAAAATAAAAATAAAAATTACCAAAAAGCACAACAAGCACTACATTTTTATAAAAAGAAAACTAATACATATGTATTTTAATTGAATGTAAGTCGAATTTGTATTTTTATGCGTAAAAAAGTTGACAACATTTTTTAAATTAAATAATATTTTGTTTTAATTTACTCACACACAATTCAAAGAATTCTCCAAAAATGAAACATACAAAAAGAAGAAAAATTGGAAAATGTAAAAAACAAAAATCATTGAACTAATAATAGCAATTAAAAAAACTTAAGCAAAAAAAAATCACCCAAATTATGAAATATTCTTACATGCATACATATACATACATACATATACAATCAATATTGTGTTGTATAAAATACACTGAAGCATAATGCACGATTATGTGCAATGGCAATAACCCGAAAACCGTTTGTTTTCCACCAACTAACAATCAGCAATAACGAAAATTTACAAATTACCCCCAAATATCTAATTATGTTTCAGTAGACATTGTTTTATTTTTACATACAAAGTATACATACATATTTACACATTCATGTACAAGTTAATGTAGGTACACATAATTTCGGTTTGCTGCTACACTTTAAGCATTTCAGACTCTCAAATTCGTTCATACATTTTATTATCGAACAATTATAGTAAATACCATTTTAGTTCTTTAGTGACAATTTTTTCCTAAGGCAAACAAATATTTTTAATTAAGTTTAAATTTAATTTGTTTTATTTAATTTTTAAATCAATTTTTATTTTTATTTTTGTTAATTTGTATGTACATACTTAGGCACAAAGAGCTATGCTATGCTATGTGTGTTATGTAGTACTACTAGTAGTACATAGTATGTGTGTTTTGTGTGCACTTGAGCTGATCGTTTGTGCTTCAGTGTGTTGTGCAAGTGGAAACCAGTAAACAGCTTACAACTGTAGATATTCTTATGTATGTAAATTATGAAAACTCTTAATTATAAATATATTTGATCAAAAATGTGCGAAAATGTAAAAATTACTTACTTAAGAATATAATTGTAATTACAACATCTTTTGTTATTGGAAAACAAATAATAAATAAAAAATATAATGTATATTTGACAAAAAAAAAAAAATGTTTTATTTTTACGCTCAAATTTATAAAAAAATAATGAGATCCTTAAATTAGGAACCGAGTATGCGTTCCGGTTTTGGTTCTGTTCTACACGAGAACAAAATGTAGTGTTGAGTACGTTCCCGCAAAATAACCAAACGTGAACAAAAGTATTGAAAGCTGTTTGAACGGGAACAAAATGAGTACACAAGATTTGGAGATGTTTTCATAAAGAACAAAATGCGAACAAAACGCTAGGGAACATTCTCAAAACTAACAATATTGATAACGAAACTTTCGGTTTTCATTGAGACATAAGTATTAAGAATGAGAGCGGCGTCTGTGTTGGCGTGAAAAATCGTTTCAGTTAGAGCCATGGTTTGAACAATCATTTATGGAACAAATTTTCATTTTCTTTGCAGGAAAAGTTCGTGTGTTAAGTCTTTTTTAACTTAATTTGCGTAATTATCTTTCAGTTCTTTTTTGACTGATGTTAATATTCAAACATTTCAATCTGCTGCAGCGCTATGAGAAAATTATTGTTCACGCTTCCATTCTACTGCAAGAGTTCAGAAAAGATTTTTCCCCGTTTCCTTCTCTGTCAGAACGTTCCTTAGGCTTTTGATCCCAATTTGTAATTCGAGAAAAACTTCCTCAGACTTTGGTTCACGTCTCGTTCTTTGCCAGAAGGTTCCCGAGACTTTTGTTCACTTAAAAATGTTACCGAAAGTATTTGTCGCTTTGAGAACGAATATGTGGAAAACATTGCAGGAAACTCTTAAAATGTTTGCATGGAACCATGGCGCAATAAACAAGTGAAGTAATAAAACAGCTTTCTCGCTTTATTTTTTGACATTCGGCTTCCTTATAGTCACATTTAATAGGCAAATTTTCAAATAAGGCAGTGTCCGCCGCGACGCTAGGCACTAAGTGGTATAATTACAAATCCGTCCAATTAACTTGTTCATGTACTACTTTTTGTTTTTGGGTGACTACCTATGTCCACTTTTTGCTTTATTACTCAATTGTTAAGTTTAAAAGTTGCTCTTATTGCTCAACCAAAAATGAAATAAAGCAAATTTGTGCTATTTCACATTCAATAGGGAAATAACACAAATTTGCGTTATTGCCGTTTGTGTTATTTCAACCCCCCTTGCTAACATGGCTGACAAAAATCATGCCCGAACATATTTTGGGTTGTCCTACATATAACGTACCTTGTGCAAAATTTCATCAATTTATCTTCAGTGGTTTTCGAATTACAGAATTAAAAGCAGCTAGATGGGTCAAATCTTATACAGTGCGCCGGAATGAAAATGCGCTTTGTCAGAAAAAAATTTGGAAATAAGTTCGCTTTATTTCCCAATGTTGTCCAAGTGTCAAGCGATTCATTTCGTTCCGCTGAGATATGATCCTGACTTTCTGTCAAGACTTCCATCGGGAAAGAGCGGTCACTGACAAAATAACATATTATTAAAATAAAAACACTATATGGACCACCCTTTATGCACGAATGTTTGAATGTAACTACTGGTCTAGTGATGGGTCGTTCGGCTAGAAAGTTCTTCCAGGGGGTCATTAAAAACAAACTTCTTGTTGCTTTACAAGTATACATACATAAGTACAATAGGGTGGTCCAAAAATACATGTAAAAAAAAGTAAAGTCGGAATTTTTCTTTCTTTTATTATTTTGAAATCAAGAAATATTTAGAGGTCGCTCAAATAAATAAATAAATAATAAATAAATAAATCGCTCAAAGTTTTCCATGTATTCCATGAGGGGAAAACAACTTTTCATAGAATTGGTATAGAATTTTTGAAAATCAATATTTTTCGACCGGAAACCTCTGTGCTCTTCAAGAGACTCCCAGTAATACCCAATGATACCTAATTATTTTTTCAACCATTTTTTCATAGTAACCATATTTTATATTCCCACCAAAACCCCTAGAAAATGCCCGAAAAAGCAATGGGGAGATAAATAAAAAAGCTTAAGCATTGAA